CTAGTGATGATGTCATACGTATGATAATAGCTCAAAAACAGTGATAAAAAGAGACTGAAAAGTAGCAAGACGATGTTATGCACAGGGAGTAAAAAGGTAAGGATGACATCACATAATTAGAAACAATGCAAATGAGAAGACAGTGAAGCAAATGGCTTTAAAGTATCAGAAGAAGAAAACTATCACTTTAGAATACTATGGCAAAAATATCTGTCAAAAATGAAGATAAAGATTATTTTAGACATACTCAACCTGAAAGAATTCATCAATAGCCAATTTACACTGTAACAAATGGTAAAGGAAGAATTTCAGGGAAAATGAAGTACTTCTAATTGGAAATCTGTATCTATACAAACAAATGATGTTCACCAAGAAATGGTAAACCAGTTTATAAATATATAAAACTATTTAAAAGATAGTTGAATATATAAACAATCTTAAGTGCTGGTGGAGTGGCTCAAGTGGTAAGCATGCCTGCTTAGCAAGCATGAGACCCTGAGTTCAAACCCCAGTGCTACCAAAAAAAAAAAAAAAGAAATAATCTTATGGGGTTCATAACATGTAATAACAAAATGCATGACAACAATAGCAAAAAGTCTGGGGGGAGTAAATGTAAGGTTTTTTTATACATGAACTAGTATAACTACAAAGTAAACTGTTTTAAAGATGTATGCTTTGTGAACCTTTTGAGGCATGTCTAATATAAAAACAAAGGAACTAAATAGAATCATGCTGGAAAAACTGGATATCCACATGTAAAAGACTAAAACTAGATCCCTGTCTTTCACCCTGTACTAATATCAATTCAAAGTGAACCAAAGACCTTATATGTGAGACCTAAAACTTTGAAACTACTGCAGGAAAGAATAAGGGAAAGTCTGGAACATACGGGCATAAGCAGTGACTTCCTGAATAGAACCTCCATAGCTCAGCAATTAAGAAAAAGGGTAGTCAGGCCTGATGGCTCACTCCTATATTCTTAGCTACTTGGGAGGCTGAGATCAGAAGGATCATGATGCAAGGCCAGCCCAGGCATAGTTCTTAAGATCCCATCTCCAAAAAAACCAGAGCAAAATTGACTGGAGGCATGGCTCAAGCAGTAGAGTGCTTGCTTTGCAAGTGCGAAGGCCTGAGTTCAAACTCCAGTCTCCCCAGTAAGGAAGAGACAGAATAGACAAGTTGGACTGCATCAAACTAAAAAACCGCACAGCAAAAGAAACAATCACTAGACTTAGGAGACAGTCTACAGAATGGGAGAAAATCTTTGCCAGTTATTAATCTGATAAGGGACTGACAACCAGAATCTACAGGGAGCATGAATAACTAAACTCCCCAAAGCATCAACAACTTAGTGAAAAAAATAGGCACATAAACTGAAAAGACAGTTTTCAAAGGAAGAGATACAAATGTCCAATAAATACATGAAGAAGTACTCCTTGGCCGTAAGATAAATGCAAATCAAACTATACTGAAATTTCATTTCACTCTAGTTAGAATGATTCAAGAACAGAAACAACAAACATTAGAAATAGGAACCCTTATACCTTGTTGGTGGGAATATAAATTAGTTCAACCACTATGGAAAGCAATATGGAGGCTCCTTAAACTAAAATAGAGCTGCCATACGATCCAGTGATACCACTCAACTATATGCCCAAAGGGATTTAAGGCAGGATATAAATAAACATTTGTACACCCATGTTTATTGAAGCACTATTCACAATAACCAAGCTCTGGAAACAGCCTAGATGCCCTACAACTGATAAATGGATTAAGGAAATGTGGTGTATCTTTACAATGCAGTATTAGTCATAAATTTGGAAGAATGAAATTGTTTGCAGATAAATGGAGGAAACTGGAGAGCATCATGTTAAGTGAAGTTAGCTTCACAAAGACAAAAGTCACATGTTTTCTCTCGTAGATAAATGTATACACAAATACAAACATGATCATATACACATTTATATGGAGAACATGTTTGCATTTTGAGTTGTTTGATGGGACTTGGGGAGGAGGGAGAGGATACTAAAATATATTTCATCTATAAAGGAAGGTGGTAAAAAGAAAGGCTCTGAAAGCCATTGACGAAGAGGGTGGGGAGAAGGGGCAAAGGAGAATGTAAAGTGCAGCTGATATTCCATTGTAAAACCCTTTTTAGAATGAATATGGACTTAAAAATGAAGGACAGGATTGTAAAACAGGTCCTGTGAGGGGGTGAGTATTCGTGGGAGTGGAGTGGGTGAATGGAGGGGATAAAGGAGTCAAAATATACTTTATGTATTTCTGTGGAATGGAACAGTGAAACCTATTGTAATTGTGTTCAGTAGTAGGGGAGAGGGATGAGGGAGAGAGGGCAGAAGTAAACCTAACTAAGGCACATTGTAATCATATATGGAAATGTCACATTGCATCCCCCTGTGTAACTAATATATGTTAATGTTTTAAAAACCAAATAAAGTAAATAATGGCTGTAAACCTAATCATATCAATAACATAAAATGAAATTGGTTTAAACAACCTGATGCAACGACAGTACCTGTTAGATTAAATAAAAAAGCAAAACCAGATTACATGCTGCTTAATAAGCATCACACTATAAAGCAAAAAAAAAAAAAAAAAGTTGAAAGTAAAAGGTGGAGGGAAGATGCATGTGGCTTACACTTATACACCAGGAAGCAGGAATGGTTACATTAATATCAGACAAAGCAGGTTTCACAGCCAAGAAGCTTATTTCATAGTGATAATGGGTCAGTTAGGCAAAAGGACATAACAACCTTAAATTCATCTAATAAAAGATACTCAAAATACATGGGGCAAAAACTGATAGAACTTCAAAGAGAAAACAAACCTCAAATACACCTGGACATTTCAGTATTCTGGCTCAACAATTGATGCAAGTAGGCAGAAAATGAACAAAGTTGTAGTGGATTTGAGCAATAGTTTTAATTAATTTGACCTAATTGACCTATATGAAACACCCTAAAAATAAAATACAATCTTCTTAAGCATGCATGGAATTTTTACTAATACTGAACATATTTGGAGACCTAAAACAAGACTCAATGTATAAAGTATGGCTTCTACTAATCTCTTTTAGCTTAGGCTGGCACAACAAAATACCATAGTCTGGGTACCTTAATTGATAAAAAATTTAAGGACTGTGGGGTATGGCTCAAGTGGTAGAATGCTTGCCTAGCAAGAAAAAAACAGAAATTTCTCAGAGTTTTGGAGGCTAGAAATTGGAAATCAGGTGTCATTGTTAGATTCGTTCTCTAAAGCAGCTGCATTAATTTGTTACCAGGTCCTTGCCCAACACTTGATTATTGTCTCACTTCTTTGATTATAGCCATCCTAGTGAGTGTGAAGAGTTCTCTGCTGTGGGTTGTCTTTTCCCTTTTTTAAATAATGTCTGTTAAAGCACAGAAGTTTTAACTTTTTTTGTTTGTTTGTTTTTAAAGACCGTATTCATTGATTATCCCAGAGTTTCTGTAGGTCTGTGCCTGGCATACTTGGAATATGCCAACTCTGAAATCTCTTCCTGAAGCCTGGGTTGATTGGGTTTTTTTTCTCCCAGACTCATCAAGGATGGGAGAATATAGTTCTTTCACTTGTACAGCTGAGGCCTCAATTTTAGAAGCTGCCCTTCTCTCCAGTCAGGTTGCAGCATGGCCATTTGCTTCTAGAGGCCAGCACCAAAGCATCTCTTATTTTCAGTCATCTCAGTTTAACTTGGAAGAGGTTCAGTTTAGCTAGTTTGTGTTTTTGGCATCAGATCCAAGGTCACACAGATTTACCTTGTATTCATCTAAGAGTTTTATAGTTTGGGCCCTTAGATTTATTTAAGTTCAAATAATTTAAACTTAAATAAATTTAGAACTCATTTCCTCTGTCATACTAGCCACATTTCAAATGATCACTTGGTTAAATGTTCAGACACAGAACATTTCCATCCATCATCACAGGAAGTGCTTTTAGAGATAGAAATACACAGGAATACACTAGCAAAAAATGAGCCAAAGTAGATCAGGCGTGGTGGTTCACACTTGTAATGCCAGCACTGGGGAGGCTAAGGCAGGAGGATCCTGAGTTCAAATTCAACCTGAGCTACATAGGCAGACACTGTCCTTAAAAAATTAAAAGTTAAAAAAAAAAGTTTCTCTTACTCTAGAGGCAACCCCCTTTCAGCCTATGGAAAATGTATTCTAATACTTTGCTATCATTTTCACTATTAAAAAAATGAGCCAAGAACTTGAATAGATAGATAACAAAAAAAAGAAAGAAATGAATGAGGGGGATCATTGTATGAGAGATTGTTGAGCAGATAAAGAATTCTACATTGAAGTGAGATTCCATTGTTAGTCCCCCAGATTAACAGTGACTTCTACCTTCAGAACCTCACTGAGGCCTTCCCTCCCACCCTAGTAAAATTTCCTGCTCATTATTCCTTAGCTCTTACTAGCATGACATTTTTCTTAATTATTTCTTCTTCCTTTGAATGTAAAATTCATGTATGTGAAACCCAGTAGTGTTTACTCACTATTTATTATCCCTGCATAAAACAGTTTCAGATATAGAAGAAACACAGTCTTTGTAGTTGAATCAAAACTGACAAAAAAGGTATAAAGAAAGGCATACACTGCTGTAGAGAGTAAATTGGTACACCCTTTCTGGAAGCAGTTGTGTGGCATGTAAAGAATCTCAGTGTTCTTGTCCTTTGACCAACACTTCTTCCAGGTTTTTATCATAAGGGAGTCATTAAGGATGCACACAAAGATACAGCTGGAAAATTAAGCTACACTGGAATGCTTTTCATCTGTAGTTAGGAAACTCTTAAACTGACATTGGAAGGAACAGAGATTATTTTTAATGTGACAAAGTACTTTTTCATAGTTCAAAAGAGATCTTTCTTTGCCAATGCTAGCATTTAAAAATAACTCATTACTGACTTCTACTTCTTTCTTAAGCAAAACTAAAACTTACCTATAAATTTTTCTCCACAGGTCCCTTAATATGGACTTTGAAAATCAAGATAAGGAGAAAGACAGTAACAGTTCTTCGGGGTCCTTCAATGGCAACAGCACCAATAATAGTAAGACATTTCACTTCCTCTACAGCTGTCTTAACTTGGTTCTTTCTATAACTCCCAGTTAATAACTTACTGGGTTCAAGGTTATGTGTTTGGCATAACAATAAAATATAATCTATATGCTGTAAATCTGTTAAATTTTTATGTTCTGAGTGGAACTACTGATTTGTTGCATACAAGAAACTCTTGCCTAAAAGCTTGCTACTGAGATTCTTTCTTAAAAAATGAGTAGGGTAGATTAGTGTCTGCTGTTCATGAATTTGTTTAAATACTTGGGAGAAGTTGATAATTTTGTGTTGATCACAAGTTTATTTGATCTCTTTAGAAGAGCTACTTGAAATACTTGAAAAACTAAGTATTATAAGTATCTCTCATCACAGGTATTTCTAAGACTATCTAAGGGGGTTTTTTTTTTGTTTTTAAAAGTGTGCTATATGCGGGGGGGTTGTGAGCATGACCCATAGGATAGGCTCAAGTCACCACTTAATAGAGAAGAAATACTGGGGGGAGTCTGATAAAGACTTACGTAGAATATGATGAAGGACCATGGTATTAAAATGAAAAGAGATCACTTAATACCCATTTTCCATTTCTTGAGTTACTATAATACTTGTAAACCAAATTGTTCTTCTTGCCCAGCTTGTTAAATGTGTTTCTTATCCCCTGTAGTGCAAAGGAAGACATGATAAAGATAGCAAGTAGATCATTTAGAGAGTCTTAAAGTTGTGATATAGTCCTTGTGTGAAATAAATTTCTAAACCAATAATTTACTAGGAACCAGATTAAACATAGTGTAGACTCTGATTTTCAGGTTAAATTACTATGTAGCATCTTACTTCTACCAGCATTTCAAGCCAACTCACAGTACACGCTTCATTTGTTTGGGGGAGATTTGTTGTTTTGAGACAGGGTCTCACTTTGTAGCCAGCCTAGGCTGTCCTTGAACTCAGTCCTCCAGCCTCAGCCTCCCAATTGCTAGGAGTACAGGTATGCATCACCACACCTACTAACTTTATACTGTTGAAACCTTTTTTTTATAATTCTGTATTGTATAGTGTATATGCAAATGATATAGTTACATCAAATTATAAATCCATTGTATATTGCATCACAGAAACTTAAGAGGAATCTATAGTGTATATCTAAGTACAATTTTATTCTTTGCATACAGTGGAAAGACATTACCTGGTAACAGTTTTTATTTCTTATTAATCAGAGTCTAAAGAGAATAGAATGCCCTTTTTAAATGGTCATTTTCTTAAATCTACTTCCCATGTTGTGCTTAATTATCCTTGATAATGTATACTTCTATAGTACCTACAGTGAGCCATGGTTACCAAAGGGGCTGAGAGATTCAGATAAAATATACTCCATTTCCACATAATCAAGAAACCAGTACTTGATTATGGAATATAACATCATTCCAGATTGAAGGGATGGCATGGAAAACACATTTCTCAAGAATGAAAAAAGTAATAACAGCTAGAAAGAGAATTGTGTAGGTGCCAAAAAAAATTGATGTCCTAAATGATTAACAGTGCAGAATAATTGAGCTAACAGGTCTAAGAAAAGGAAGGTATGAATTTAGTGTTTAAGATTTTGTCAAAGGGTGTATTGGATCAGTTGAAGGAGAAAATGACTAGATAAAGGTTGTGTTGTTTTGTTTCTGTTTTTGTAGTACTGGGGATTGTACCCAGGGCTTCACACATAGTAGGCTGTTCCACTTGAGCCACATGCCCAGCCCTTTGTTTGTATTTTGTTTTTCAGGTAGGGTCTCACTAACTTTGACCAGCCTGGCTTTGAACTCAGGATCCTCCTGTCTCTGCCTCTCAAGTGTCCAGGATTACAGTTGTACACCATCATACCTGGTCCTAGTAGAGGTTTTAAAATAATATTTCAGTTGCCCAGTCCCAAAATAATCAAATCGAAGGAATTGTGAAAAAACATCACTGTGGAGAAAGGCATAAGTGTAGGGCAGCATCATGCGTAGAAGGTCAGGGTGAAGGGTTACTGTCTAGGTTGTGAACTTTGTCAGAAAGCTACAACTATAAAGTGATGGCAGAGGATTAGATGAGCCATCTGATACCAAAAAAATCAAAACTTAACAAAATGAAAGTTAACGCTTCGTAATTGTATGTTTTATCTGCAAGGTTGCTAGGGTATATGTGACCAAAGACTGGGGAATTATGACTTCAGATTATAATACACTTGACCTGTCTGGGCAACTCAAACCACTTTAAGTCGAGGGGAGAGTAAAACAGGCCTATCAGAAAGAATGGCACTCAGCTCATTAGAACTAAGGAAAATGAAAAATTTAAAACAGCCAGGCCTACTGACACATGCCTGAAATCCCAGCTACTCTGGAGGCAGAGGCAGGAGACCTGTGAGTTTGAAGTCAGTGCAGATAAAGTTAGTGAGCCCCTATCTGAAAAACAAAAGGGCAGGGGCATTGCTCAAGTAGTAGAGGGCTTTCTAGGTCCTGGTTTTAATCCCTAGTATTGAAAGAAGGGAAGGAGTGGGGGGAGGCAGAGAACTTAAACCATAATGAAATAGCAGTATGCACCTATACACTTAAACTAGCTAAAATAAAAAAACACTGTTAGCATATAGAACAACAAGAATGAACCCTCTTGCACTATTAGAGAGAGTATACATGGCCGAATCAGTTTGAAAACCAGTTTGGCACTATCTCCTAAAGGTGAAGATCTAAATATCCTTGAACCCAGCAGTGTTGCTCCTAATACAGGCACATGTGCACAAAAGCATATGCAATCACATGCAAAGTGGAAATTCCTAAAACAGCCCAAAATTTGGAAACAACCCAACTGTCAGTCATAGAAAGAATAAGTAAATTTTAACATATTAACACAGTGAAATCTATCTCATATCAGCATAAATGATTCTCATAAATAGCATTGAGTGAAAGAAGCCAGTACATGAAAAATACATTCTTCCTAATTCAATGTACATAAAGTTCAAAAAGTAGGTAAAAATAAGTATTTACAGGGGCCTACTTAGGTAGAAAACATGCAAAGTATGGCAAAAAGAGCATGGTGGTATTCACATGTAATGCCAGCTAAGCAAAAGGCATAAAAGTTAGGAAGATCACAATCTGAGAGCAGCAAGACTGTATGGAAAAATAACTAAAGCAAAACAGCAGGAGATGTGGCCTAGAAGGTGTGAGGCACTGAGCTCCAAACCTTCATACACTGCCTCCCACCCACACACACACCAAAAAAAACTTAATAAATAAAAATAAAACCTGACAGTTTTGAGGTTGAGGGACTTCCTTCCAGGTTCTGATTCCCCTAACCTGTTCTAATTCCTGTATCTGCCCCAAGAAGCCTATATACAGATCTCCGCCCTCCCCATCAATCTTTCATTTAATTAGTATTGAGTTAAGGGGGAAAAAGCAGCCATATATACTCCATTGTCTGACAATTTGGTCCTTAGCTTCACATTCTATTGAACTATGACGATGGAGATATACAGTTGTAATTCTCATTGGCAGAGAATATCACCCTTAATTTCCACTTGGACTGTAAACCACTGAAGACTTGAATATTAACTTTTAGACTCTCTATTGCTTACTTTATAATAGGTGTTTGAGTTTTAGGTAAAAGGCACAAAATCATTAGTTTTCTTAACAGTTAATACATTGGTGTTGTTCAGTGTATATTCCATAACCAGATGTATATTTAGCCTGTAGCTGTACTCATTAAATACTAAAATTAATGTTGCTGTACATAATTTTTAATTCCAGCCCCATGCTGTTTCTTATGCTGATTTTTGGCTTTAAAGATAACACAGGTGAACTTCTGTAAATCTCCCCAATTATAGCTGCTTTGTTTAGCTTTACTCAGTTTTGTTTTTAAGTTATTGAAATTTAACTAAAGTTCTATGTAATTGGCTTCTTTCCCTTCTGGCCCACTGTGGCCAATCCTCTAGAATTGAAGTGCTGAAGGTCATGCACTGTCTTAGGTAGCATGTCATCATCGACTAATGAGGCTTTACTTTTGTTCCGTGGTTTAAAATCTGTGCATTCTAGCTAATCTTCTGAACTTCTTTTGCTTTTTTTCTTTCTTGCTGATACTGGGGTTTCAAGTCAGGTCCTCATGCTTGCTAGGGAGGCACTCTACCACTTGAGCCATTCTGCCAACTCATCTAATATTCTAGAAAGGTTCTTTGAATTCAGTTTTGCATTTTAGTTACACACTAAAATTTATAAATGCATCTTGCATAAGCAAGTTACTTGTCTTCATTCTGTCAGACATTTAATTTTTCTGTTCTACTTTGAACTAATACTGTTTATCTATAGACTTTAAGATGTTTTGTTTTATAGAAGAGGGAAGAGGGAAGAGGGTAGGTGTGTGTTTTAGAATCATGTATTTCTTTTAGAAGTTTTGTTCCTTATCCTGTAAAAAAACTATCGAGAAATGATTATTTTCTGTTGTGAAAGGCAGCTGAATCTGTAGTTCCTCTAGTTCTTTGAACTATTGTGAAACACTTAAGTTTAAAAACTACTTAGGAGTATAGGTATGGCTCAAGTGGTAGAGCGCAAAAGGCCCTGCGTCAATTCCCCATACTACCACCACTGCCAAAAAAAAAATTAGGAGAAATTTAGAGATTTCATAGCAATTTGTCCTATAGAGACATTCCCTCCAAAAAATCATGATCCTTGTGCCATGCTGAACGGGCTTGACTGCAGCTCAGGACAGACCATTTCTCTGATCATATCTGTCTGTCATGACACCTAGATCACTTTTCTCTAAGCAAATTCTGTGACACCTAACCACTAAGAAGCAGTTTTGAAGAAACATTTAATATTTTACTTCATAAAAACTCCTAAATAGCTCTTGGGAACAAGCAAATTTAAGTACTTAAGAATTGTTTTGGAATGTTGGTTCATCACTGATTGCAACCCTTTGTGTCTAGGATTCATCCTGATTGTATATTTTATATGTCATCTTAATTTAATGGAGACACTTTTACTTCAAATTTCATTATAGTAGATTATATGACAGTTTCTTTAGTGCCTTTCATGCACTTTCAGATTTTTGTTTTTGGGTTTGTGTTTGCAGAACTCAGGGCCTCACACTTGCTAGACAGATGCCCTGCCACTTGAGCCATGCCCTCCTCCTCCCCAGCCCTGGTAGTGGGGTTTGAACTTAGGGCCTCATGCTTGCTAAGTAGGCACTCTACCACTTGAGCCATGCTCCCCAGCCCCTGCTTTTGTTATTTTTGAGATAGGGTCTTGCTTTATTTCTAGGTTAGTCTAGACCATTATCCTCTTATTTGTGCTTCTTAAGTAACTGGGATGACAGGTGCACACATACCTAGCTAATGGGTGAGATGGGGTCTTGAGAACTTTTGGCCCACGCTGGTCTTGAAGTTTGATCCTCCTGATCTCCACTAGCTAAGTAACTAAGATTTAAGATTATAGGAATGAGCCAACACCAACTTTTTTCTTTATGACAGCTCACAGGTTAATTTGAAAGTGGGTAGCACATAAGAAAGACAAAGCTGGTAATTTTTCCTTATCGTTCAGTGGTTATGAGATTTTGCCTTGTTTTCTTTCCCTACCAGATACTCTTAGTGGTTCTCAACTCTGGGTGCAAAATAAAGTTTTCTGGTGAGTTTTTAGCTTGATCTAACCTCCAGAGATTTCAGTTTAATTGCTCTGGGCATTGTAATTTTTTAAAATACTCACCTAGTGATTCCAGTGAGTAGTCAAAAATTAAGAATCACTGTGCTCTAAATACTACTGTATCCCAAGACATTGTCCCCGATTTATCTCCTTTTCTGGTACCTTAAAATGTTCTCAAAATATTTTTTCTAATTTGCTATTTGTAGCTATGTCTTGTTCATCCTCTTCCCCACTAGAGTGAACATAAGTATATTAAATCCACAGAGAAATTATTTTTGTCAGTAGATTTAAAACACTTCTTTTATCAAACCTGTGCAAAAAACCACAAATACACTCAAATAGACATATCTGAGTTTTTACTACCCCTCAGTGTTCTTGGTTTAGTTTGGTTTTTGCATACTGTCATCCAGATGGCTAGTGCCAGGTAACTATCTGATTCAACAAGTATTGTGAAGGCACTGAGAACAAGGAGCTCATAATCTCACTGGGAAAGAATCATAAGGCCTAGATGATTCATACATTTCATAGTCATCTTAAGAACCATCTTCATTTTAATGAGTTTATGTAAATGCATAGGCACAGTGCCTTTTATGATAATTGGTTTAATATGTCTCATTTTCTGTCTTTCAGGTATCCAAACAATTGACTCTACCCAGGCTCTGTTCCTTCCAATTGGAGCATCCGTCTCTCTTCTAGTAATGTTCTTCTTCTTTGACTCAGTTCAAGTAGTTTTTACAATATGTACAGCTGGTAAGAGAATTTCTCTATTTATTCTTAACATACTAAAAAGGAAATTTTTGATTGTTCAAAAATTAGGATTTAGATACCATGCCATGCAAGTTTTTGATTCATAAATCTGGCTCCCTTCCTGCCCACCTTTTATTGAATCACTTGATACACATATCATCTGTTCAAACCTATTAACACAATATGAAAGAAAGAGCAGGGATCTGAAAACTCGTGAGCTTTACAATATCAGAGTAGTATTGATTTAGCTGTGGCTCCTTTGCTGATAGGTTATAAGCCTCTACTATGTTTTTATAGATAGAAACATTGATAGCAAATCAGAGTAATTCAACTATCAGCTTTCTGATTATCTTTCAAGCTGAGCAGTGCAATAATAGAAATGTAACAATCACTAATAAAATACCCCAAGATTATTGTAGTAAAGCTCCTGCCTACCACTATGTGCTAAAATGCATGAGGCCCTGGGTTTGAACCCCAGCATTGCAAAAAAAAAAAAAAAACTCTTGTTGTTTCTACTTGTCAAGAAAAGCATTTTGGAAAATGACTGCTTCTGTATATTTTGCCATTTTTCTTATAATTGATTAAAAAAATTTAAAGTTAACCATACATTTTCTTTCTCTAGTTCTTGCAACAATAGCTTTTGCTTTTCTTCTTCTCCCGATGTGCCAGTATTTAACAAGACCCTGTTCACCTCAAAACAAGTAAGGACCTCGGACTTTCCTGAGTTATAAACATGTATGTGTATGCATAATAGCATTATTAGTCTGTAAGTTTCTGATACTGGCTGGAACACACAAATGCCAAGAGATTGGGAAGTGAAATGTTTGATCTTTTAAAACTAGAAGATAGTAAGTACTTCCTTTTGCACCTTTTCATGGCAGAGGAAATATAAACAAATCTTAGGAAGTTGGAGTCATTGTAATATGCTTCCTACTTAGATTATGAAAGAAAAGCAGTTTTATTTTGAAGCAATGCTTTTGTTCTTTCACTGGTGAGTTAATGGAATATGGGAGTAGTCTTTGCCTTTCTTCTTTGGTGACCTAGATATGCCAGCCAGTTTGATTCAATGCTAGTGTTCACACCTTAATTCCTGAAGCCACTGCTCCATGGAAACAAAGTGCTATGCTAATAAGAATGGTGTATGCACTTGGAAACCAGTCATAAGTGGCAGCTGATTTTCCCAGGAATTAGTGGTAACCAACTAGATTTGTCATCTTACAAACATTAATTTCATCCTTGCTGAATGAATTGAATTGTTACCTTCATTTTGTCTTCCTCTTAGAGTAGGATTTTCCTCCATACTTAGCTTCTCCAAAGATTGGTTTTATCACTAAACTTTTAACTACACATGTCAATAATTCAGTTTAAAAAGTAAGTACTTTTACAGGGCTGGAGACGTGGCTTGAGTGGGAGCACGCCTGCCTAGCAATCACCAGACCCTAAGTTTAGACCCAGGATGGCCCAAAGTCAAATAGGAACAGAAACCTAATTGCTCTTGAGTTTTCTGTGCCTTACTCCAAAGAGGCTTGGTTCTTCTGGATCTTCAGGTATTACCTACTGTTCTAATCCAGCCATCCTGAACTCTGGTCATGGAGAAACAAAGGAGAATTTGGTTGTTGAATGCAGTGTGCCCAAGGTCCAGTAAATGTTGTGTGTCTTCCAGGATTTCCTTTGGCTGCTGCGGTCGTTTCACTGCTGCTGAGTTACTGTCATTCTCTCTATCTGTCATGCTCGTCCTCATCTGGGTTCTCACTGGCCATTGGCTTCTCATGGATGGTGAGTAACTAATGTGTGACAGATTGTAGTTTTTCTTAATAGAGTTTTATAGATAACTCAGTTCATTCAGAGTTGTACAAAGAACATTTTTGTCCCTTACCCCTTAAAACCTGTATCCATTAGCAGTCACTCCTGGTCCCCCTCACCCATTCTTAGACCCAGGCATTTACCAGTCAGCTTTCTGTCTCTTTGTTTTCTCTATTCTGAACATTGATGAGGCCTTTTGTGCCTGGCTTCTTTCACTTAGCAAAATGTTTTTAAAGCTCATCTATGCCGTCCTTTCTATGGCTGAATGCTATTCCAGTATCGATTTTATTTATTCATTATTTCCCCTATGTTGGACTATTAATAATGTGTTTATGAATATTCACATACAAGTTTTTGTGCAGACTACTTTCTTAGGTAAGTGGGATTAATACCTAATATTCTATAATACGGATTTTATATGTAATAAGTATTGCACATACCATATGTATAATATGGGTTATATTTGCTATATACAGTATACTCCTGTTGTGTAGTGTTATATATCTTTATCATCATGTAAAGATGTGTCATACCTTTTTTAATAGCTCCAGAGCATTCCTTTTGTTTTAATCTTTTTCTATTATAAATAATCTTGAGGTGTATACATTGTAATTCTACCCTTTGGTATATAAGTTAGGTATCTTAGATTTTGGTGGGGGCTGGGGGTTGCTGGGGAGCCAGCCCAGGAGCCTTGCATTTACCTCTGAGCTACATCCCCACCTATATTATTTTCTAAGGATGATGAGTCCCTAAACATGAAACTCCTAGAACAAAGGGTTTTTATTCTTTAAAATGTTGTATCTATTACTATATTGCCTTTCATAACCATTTTATATCAGTTCATGCTCCTGTGTATAGCAGATGATAATATCCCTTAATTGATAATAATGATGAAGTAATTGCAATAACAGCTAAGGTCTGTTGAGTGCTTTTGATGCTTTGGGTACTTTGCTGGGTGTTTTCCATGAGTTTATCTCATTTAATTCTCAAAAAAAAAGAAAAAAAAAACACTCTTTAAAATTGGAACTATCATTATTCCCATTTGCAGAAGAAGAAACAAAGTTCAGAGAAGTAACTTACTCTATTTCATACTTACTACCAAAACACCTTGAAAAGGAGATTTCCAGGATTCCCCATCATCCTAGTCTTCTCCTTGATGTGCTTAAGAACTTTTAAGAGCCTACCTCATTTTCTCAGTTAACTTTCCTAACCTCAAGAAACTTCTATGGGCTGCAGAACAGCTCAAGTGGTAGAGTGCCCAGCAAGCAGGAAGGCCCTGAATTCAAACTCCTGTGTCTGATGGTTCAGAAGGGAAGCAGGTTAAAATATAAAGGCAGTCAACTTTATACTATTTATAATGCAATCTAAAATTTTTATAAGAAAGAATTTGAAAATCAGGATATGTAAGTATGGATTACATCTATTTCTGTTACCATTCTAAATAACCACAACCTGCCCTTGGAAACAGAGCTCTTTGGAACCTACTGCCAGGCCTGAGGGTCCCTCTGCACTCTTCCAGGCAGTATGTCCTTGTATCTCTGAGGCCATTTCAGCTACAGGGAGCTGTCAGTGTCCTCTCAGCCAAAGCCACAGAGTGATGCCTACGGCCTGGGCCTCAAGTTCAGGAGTGGCAAAGTCGCTCAAACAATTTCTAAATGCCATGACATTACGATATGTATAGCTTCTGTGATGATCTTAAGTGCGCGGAGTAGAATTTGATAGTTGGGGGGTTTTATATATATATCATTATATATTTTTAAAACCCTTGCATCACATAAAAAACCATTAGTTCACATAAAACAGCATGTGAACTGATTCAAAACCAATATCATATTCAGTGCACTTAGGAAATTAATGAAAAGTATGCTGTCATATAGTTTTAATGAGGAATAAATTTTAAACCTTAAAGAAAACTTGTCCTTAAAAGAATTTTACCTTGATAAATAACTCTCCCAAGTACAAAGTTTTAAAAATGTGTAAGTTGTGAGAAACTGAATGAGGAAATAAACTATAAAGTGGATTGTAAGCTCTGTAAAATATTTAAATGGCATATTTTAATGAAAAGTAGTATTTGTAGTGAAAACACTTAAAATTATAGAATATATAAATATAAGATATACTTATTATTTTTGATTATACAGAAATTGCAGAGAAGGGGTGAGGATGACTGAGTAAGCTCACTAGGAAGGACTGAGTAAGCTCACTAAAAAGGAGTCTCTTCCTCTAGCACTAGAGTATATAGAAAATTGGCCTTAAAGGACAAACTTTTCTCCCAGTGACCACTTTCATAAGTGCATTTCCATTGTGAAATTCACCTAATAATTAGAAATTTTTGCTGAGTGTTCAGTGAGGCTCCCCTAAACCCTAACTGGTAGACTAGTTCTTTTTCTAAGGATCTCTTGTTACCAGTTTGCATTGGTTAAACTGCAAACTAAATACAATTTTTTCCTTAAAAAAAGAGGGACTGGCAGAGTGGCATATACCTGCCTAGTAAGCGTGAAGCCCTGAGTTCAAACCCCAGTGCCACCAAAAAAAAAAAAGATTTTAAGCATTTTTTCACATTGATCTAATCTCTCTCTGTGCGGGAGGTGATCAAGAGGATCATGGTTCCAGGCAGAAAGTTCAAGAGGCCCCATCTTAACTAATGGCTGGGCTCAGTGGTACATGCCTCTCATCATAGCTATTCAGGGAAGCACACATAGAAGGATTGAGGTCCAGGTCTGCCAGTGCAAAAAGTGAGACTCTTTCTCAAAAAGGATCAGTGCAAAACTGGCTGGCAGCATGACTCAAGTGGTAGTGCACCTGCCTAACCAAACTTGAGGCCCTAAGTTCACCTCTAGTACTACCAAATGAATAAACACTTTACTTCCTTAACACTTTTGGTTAATCTGTGTTTAACCAAAAGTTCAATTTGTTGGTAAAGCTATCCAAGAGACTTTTGGAAGTTTCTCAAGGACCAGGGAAAAGTTACCACTCTCTTCATGTTGGTCTTCAGGAGCTCTAAGAGGAGGTAAGATTAAGGACCCTGACAGTGCTTACACCTGTAATCTCAGCTGATCAGAAGGATCACAGTTTGAGGCCAACCCAGACAAAAAGTTAGTTAAGACCCCATCTGAATGAATAAGTTGGGCATGGTGGCTTGCTTCTGTAATCCCAGCTGTGCAGGAAGCTGTAGGTAGGATGATCATGGTCTGAGGCTGGCCTCAGACCCAAAAAAAAAAAAAAAAAAGAAAGAAAGAAAGAAAGAAAACCCTACCTAGAAAATAACTAAAGCCAAAAAGAAGGGGGGGAAGTAGAATCCCTGATAGCGGGTACAAGACCTTGAGTTCAAACTCCAGAACCACCACCCCCCAAAAGTAAATCCTGTCTGAGCTGCCAAAAGGGCTACATTCTGCCTGTTTAGACATGGCACTTAGAATACAGTGGGAAGACTAGGTGTGAGATGGGGGAGAGAGGGTATTGCTCAACCGCTGTAGACAAGAGGACCAAGTGCCAAGGCAGGTGGACTTGGAAGCAGAACCAACCCATGGTACATTTTACAACTTTAAAATTAGCTCTCATTCATCAGAGAGAAGGGAACCTAATGAATGACCTTCTGGCCAGAAATAGTGTGAGCAGATTTTGACAGAAGGAGTGAGAATAAGTGGGAAAGGGAGGGAAGGCAGAGGGAAAGGACAGTTGTCAAAGAAGGAAGTATAAGTAGGCATGACCACAGTCTACCAAAGCAGTAAGGGTAACTGTCACTTCCACACACTTCTAAAGCTACCATCCTTCCTACCAAGGCTCTTATTTCTTCCATGGTTGCCTTGGTGCTTTGCATTCTACTGTGAACACCCCAGCCGGTGCAGATGTACACTGTAGCCACAGCAGCTACAAATTGCAAATACAAGATGCACGACTGATCAATTGAAAGCCAACCCAGTTTCTTCTTAGAAGATTAGGATAAAATGACATTGTCTGGAGTCATGAAAACCTGTCACTAAGCAATTCTTGCTTTTCCATGCTTAGTTTAGACTGAAGTAAGGTAAGTTAGCATGAGTGACAAAGCCTAGTGAATGCTGAGACTGAAAGTGAAGGTTTCCTGCAAGTTTAGGACTAAGTGAGTCTATGGAATGTTGAATAGCATACATGCCACCTGCCCATGCTAGAGGCACATAAATTTAACCACAGGAACCTGCCCTTTAGTTTTTCTATCCAGTTTGTTTCCCCACCGTCTTATGGTTATTTGTGGTAAGGATCAGTTGGTCCTCTGATTGTTACTTCTCACACAGTCCTGAATCTCATCTGTCCTCCTTAGGCCTTTTATTTCTCCCTTTGTTGCCTTAATGCTTTGCATTTCATACATTTACTTGTGAGTCAGTATGTATGCACAAGCATGGGTTTCACCTGTTCTCTGTTCATCACTTCCCAGCCTGTACCCTGGGGACTTCCCACCCACTACTATCAGTTTTCCTTCTCTTTAAGAACTGCCTCCTGTAATCCTAGCTACTCAGGAGGCAAAGATCAGGAGGATCAGGTTGGCAGTTCAGAGCCAACCTGGGCAAATAGTTTGCAAGACCCTCTCTCTAAAAAAACTCATCATTATATAAACAATAAAAAGAAATAATTTTTTTTTTAATTACAGAAATAGGGCTGGTGAAGTGGCTAAAGGTGAAGGCCCTGAGTCCAAACCCCAGTACCGCAAAAAAAAAACCTGCCTGAGATAATCAACTGTAAAGTGAAAAGTTTTATTTTGGCTCACAGTGTTGGAGGTTTCAATCCGTGATCAACTGGGCCCCACTGCTGCAGGCCTGTGGCAGCACATCATGGTGGGAATGTGTGGTAGAGTAAAACTGCCCACCTCATGGCCAGGATTCAAAAGAGAGGGGAAAGGCACAGCCTCCCCCCACCACACACACACACATCCCAAATGATCTGAAGATCTTCCAGAAGGCCCTACCTCTTGAAAGTTTCCACCACCACAGACTAGAACCTGATAGACTAACATGGGGTATGGGGAGATACTCCAAACCCAAACTATAGCATCTGTTGTTCCTCCAGCCAGCTGAGTTTATCCCTACTAATGCTTTGCTTATTGTTTCATGACACAGCCAAACATTTGTTTCCTAAGATAATAATGATAGGAGATCCCATCCTTATATGGACTTTAGGTACATCTGTCAGTGCCCTAAACATTATGTGTCAGTCATCCCTTTGCATACATTTTACAAGTTTGGTCTGCTTTTATAAATTTATCCTTTTTAAAAAAAGGAGTCCTGGACTGGCGAAGTGGTTCAAGCAATAAGGCACCTGCCTAGCAAGCATGAAGTCCTGAGTTCAAACCCCAGTGCTGCACCCCCCCAAAAAAATATACAATAATATAGTGAGCATACTAGAATATTATAAAGTTAAGAGAGAGACTGTAGCTGGGCATGATGGTACATGCCTATAATTCCAGCTACTCCGGAGACAGAGGTAGGAGGGTCGTGGTTCAAGTCCAGGGTAAGGGGGACTTGATATCCTATTTCCAAAAAAAAAAAAAAAACAGGCCAAATGGCATACATCTATAATTCCAGCTAAGTGACAGTGGGAGAATCTTTTTTCCAAGCTGGCCCAGGCAAAAGTGGGAGGCCCTATCTGAAAAATAAACTACCAGGCAAAAAGGGCTGGAGGCATAGCTCAACTGGTCAAGCACTTGGCCCTGAATTCAGACTCCAGTCCATGCGTGCGCACGCACATGTATACACACACACACACACACACACAAAACCACAGATGTCATTCCTCTAGTTTTGCTCCTGTTTCCCTGTTATACAGATGGGGATGCTTTTTTCTCTTATTTCATGGAACACCAGAGTAGGAGCTCATTAAATATTGATGTTTCCACATCCTGCCAAACTGCTATATTTGCCCATTTTTTACATATGTTGACAATTAATCAAGTCTATGTAAATAGTTTACATCTGATAATTTGACTTTTCTTACTTTCCTTAGAATAATTTGAAATTTGAAGTTACAAAGCATACTTTTTCCATTCAGTAGACACTTACTAAATGCTTCCTCTGTCAAGTGCTAGGGACCCACAGAAAGAGTTAGACATGGTTTCTATCTACCAGGAGCACATAGTCAACTAGTGTGGGAATAAACTCACTTGTGTATGAATCATTGTGTGGGAATAAACTCACTTGTGTATGAATCATTGTATATGATTGTGTATCAATCATAGGATGGGAAGTCGAGAAGTATTTTAAATTGTGTATCATCACAAAGAAGAAAGCACTTACTCTGGTTAGATAAAAAAGACTTAAGAAAGACTTTCTGACATGGATGAATTTTCAGGCTGGGGATATAGCTCAGTGATAGGTAGAGCACTTGCCTAGCATACATGAGGCCTTGGGTTGGATCCCCAGAACCAAAAAAAAGAGAAAGAGGAGATGAATTTTCCAGATAATGATCTTATCACAAAATCCACCTGGCTCATGCCAGATAAGAGAAAGAAGAAGGAGGCGTTGTAGCACCCACTGATGTTGAGTTTCAGATAGGCAAAGGTGACCAGGAACTGCAGGTCCCGGGGGAGTGTGAAAGAACACAATATGTGTTGTGAGGTGAGTGGCCAGGGAACAGAGCATCAGGATGTGCGTGCTTAGAGCGTGGAGGTCTGTAATGGAGGGTGTCCTCCTGTACATGTTACCAGTGTTTAGTCCCACTGCTTGATCCATGAGGCATTTGTCAGCAGCTGTGAAACCTAATCAGACCTATATTTTCAGAAGAGTGGAGGAGGAGAGCTGAAGAAAGGGAGAAGCCCTTCATCTGCCAGGCCCTGGTCCAGGCTTCAGGAACACAGTAGTGAACCATGCCTTCAAGAAGCATCCTTTATCTGGGTGTGGTGGTACATGTCTGTAATCTCAGCATTTGGGAGTCAGGAGGATTGAAAGTTGGAGGCCAGCCTGGGCAAAGATAACGGCAAGAACCTGTCTCAAAAACAAAAGGACCAAGGGTATAGCTCAAGTGATAGAGCACTTACTCTATACACAAGGCCCTGCGTTTAATCCCTAGTTACCACCACTGAGAGGAAGAAGCTTCCATGGGAGCCACGGAGATGAAGAATAAAAGAAAACAATATAGTGGATGGAAATGTGGCTAAAATGATAGCACACTTGCCTAGAAAGCACAAGGCCTGAGTTCAAATCCGAGTGCTGCCAGAAAACAAAAAAAAAAAATCTGGGCAGAATGTAGATGGAGCAATGAGGCCATTGCAATGGGATGGGCAGTAGCAGGAGACCACATGAAAGGTAACAAACAGTAAGACCTTGTCAGCCATTATGAAGCTTGGCTCTCCTCTATGGGGAATGGGAAGTAGATTAAGAGTTTTGAGCAGGCAACTGGTACATCCTTTGAGTTTAAGAAGTTCTTTCTGTCTACCGGGTGGAGAAGAAACTACAGGGTGGGTCCAAATGGAGGCAGATAGAGAAGGTAAGTGGTTTCTGCAGCAGTTTAGTCAAGAGATAGCTGTAGCTTGGGCCAGGCAAGTGTGAGAAAGTCGTGATTTATGCCTGTATACTTGGAAAAATAGAATAAATGCATCAAAATGGAAAATTGGTGGGAACCAATTTAGAAAAGAGATGAGTTTGAGATAAATTAAGAGTCCAAATAAACAACATTTAGGACATAGGATATAAAAGTCAAGAAGTCTGACATACAGACTGTAAATAAAAATATGTGAGTTGATAATATATAAGATAGAGATTGAATGAGATCATCAAGTGAACAGAGGTAAGAGCAAAGATCCAAGAGCAGGTTCAGGGCCAGAGAAATGAGGAAGAGCCACAGTGAAGCCTAAAAAGTTGAGAGGAACAGGAGAGCACACTGTCTGGAAGCCAAGTGAGAAAGGAGCCATAAGCTGCCAGTTGCAGAATATAGGTGAGGTCCTAGATTGGATACTGTCTCAGGTAAGCCTTATATAAAAGACATTCTGGAGTCTTTTAGAGAAATTTGATTCAGTGAGATGAAAAAAATGTATGCACATATGAATAAAAGAAAAAAAAATCACTGAGATTGTTGTGAGGGGGTAGGAAGGTTGGCAGTACTCAGATTTGAACTTGGGCCTTGCAATTGCTAGGCAGGCACTGTGTACCAATTGAGCCAAGTCCCCAGCTGTGTTGGCTTTTTTCTAGAAAGGCGATTTTTATCTCACTTTCTGCACTGAGTTTTTTTTGTTGTTGTTGTTGTTTTTTTTGTTTTTTTTGTTTTGTTGTTTTTTTTTTTTTGTGGCACTGGGGTTGAACTCATGGCCTCACTCTTACTAGCAGGCCAGGAACTGTTGCCCCTTTTCCTTTGTTTTTTGAGACAGGGTTTTGTAGTGCAGACCAGTTGGCCTGAAACTCCCAATACTCCTTTCCTTAGTCTCCTGAAATCTGGAATTACAGGGATGCACCATCATACCCAACAGCATACTTTCTTTATAAATACAAAATTAATAATAAAAATAAATACATGTGTAAAAAAATTCTGGAAGAATGTTTTAACAGTGGTAATGACAATGTAATTTTTTTAAGTTTTTGTTTAGCTTTATTCTCTGGTTTTCTATAATGCATTTTGTTATAAGCATTAAGAAATAGATAGCCTATAGCTACCCTTTTTTTTTTTTTTTCCCCCTCTGTTTCTTGAGGCAGGGTCTCTCTATTCAATTCAGACTGTCCTGGAATTCACTGTGTAGCCAGGCTGGTCTTGAACTGAGTCCTCCAGCCTCAGCCTCCCCCAAGTACTGGGATTTACAGGCATGTGCCAGCTTATCCACAACTCTTCAGAGGACCTTTGCTGTAAAGGAGAGCAGAGAAATGGAAGTAGCTAGAAGGAGGACTGTTAGCGGAAGTTTTGTATTTTAAAATTAGAAATATTGCTGGGGGTATGTGTGCCCGCCTAGCAAGTACAAGGTCCTGAGTTCAAACCCCAGTATGTTATATGCTTTGGTGCAAAGCATAAACAATTATAGATAGAAATATTATATATTTGTATATCAATAGGGGAAAATCTCAGAGAAAGAAGAGAGAGTTGCTGAAACAAAAACCCTAAGTGAAAGAAAGGGAATGTGTTTCCAGGGTGGAGCTGACTTTAATGTGAGGGTAATGCTTTCACAGAAACGGGGTAGAGGGAAAGGACAGCAGGAAACACAAGCAAGGTCTGAGACAAGCCTTGCCTATAGTTGTGTGGCTCAGGATGAAACAGCTCCTAAGTCTCCATCAGCTCAGCACTGTGTCTAGCATGAGAAGAAGAATCTCCTCAAATCCAGGTCCAAATGGACTGAATGGGCATTTTACCTTCATGTCTGAAACTGGTGCTCACGGCCACCTGAGGGATTGCAAACAACTGTGAAAGAAGGATGAGCCTGTTGTCACGCACAACTGATGTCTCCACTGTCTCCTCCAGCTCTGGCCATGGGTCTCTGTGTTGCCATGATCGCCTTTGTCCGCCTGCCAAGCCTCAAGGTTTCCTGCCTGCTTCTCTCAGGGCTTCTCATCTATGATGTCTTTTGGGTGAGTGTGTTTCACTGGGCGTCCTGCTCTCCTTTGTGTTTAATTGACTCATTGACTGCTGAAAACTGGCCAAAGCTTGGCTTGCCGACCACCTTCTCAGGTCATTCCCATCCATCCCAAGCTGTATGTGTTAGCCATATACCTTTGGTTGACAGCTGTGATACAGCTTACTGCATGGGAGCACCCAGCTCCACTGGAAGGGAGTATTTCTGGGCTCTGAGAGACATTCAGAAGTTACTAGGCATGCATGAGGAGCAAAAATTCTCTTCCTCCTCAAAGCTTGCAAAATACTGACGCTGCAGTGTTCTGAGCTCTGGTCTTAAGAACAATGAAGGCTGGTGCTGAAAGCAGTTTCTTGCAGCTCTCGTGTTAAAGGCATGTCTCCACCTTGGCAGGTATTTTTCTCAGCATACATCTTTAACAGCAACGTCATGGTGAAGGTAGCCACACAGCCGGCTGACAATCCCCTTGATGTTCTATCCCGGAAGCTCCACTTGGGACCCAATGTTGGGCGTGATGTTCCTCGCCTATCTCTACCTGGAAAACTGGTCTTCCCAAGGTAGGACTAGCCTGTTGGGCCTCATCTGTAATGATGAACACACTGCCTTCCAGTATGTGTCTGTTGTCATTAAAGTGCTGATCCTAAACTGAAAAGGGCTGAACCTTCATCTCCACTGTACATGTGAGAAAGTGGGGATGAGAATACTAACTTTCCAAGGTGTTTTCCTAAGTGCTACAGGTGCTTCTCTTTACTACTGATTAATGTTATCAACAACAGTATGTTTCCATTTACTAAAGTTGGCTGGAATTACTTCCAAGACATTCATAAAAACATGTTCTCATGGTGAAATCACACAATTCCTGGTAATATAAGCTTAGCAAAATTAATGTGCTACTTTAAACCTCTGTGTCTGATAATAATTGAGTGGTTATTTGCAGTCTCGAGAGTGAATGTGAGACAGGTGTGGTGATGAGTGCATGTAATCCCAGCTACTCAGAAGGCAGAGACATAGCTCAAATAGCAGAGCACTTGCCTAGAGGCCGTAGGTTCAATCCCATTACTACCTCCCCTCCCCCCCCCCCAAAAAAAAGTGAAAATGTCACAAGTAATGACTTGTGTGATGTTTCCAGAGGAGGTGGCATGTATGCAAATCACCTCAACACTCATTTAGAACATGCTCTTCTGAAATACTTAAGCAGCCACACTGGCCCATATTCTGAGGGCTTTTAATCTCTGATCCTGTAAAGTTAGTGTTCAGCTTGGTATGGTTGTGCACACTGAGGCGGATTCTGAGTTTGAAGCCATCCTGGGCAACATAAGACCCTGCCTCAATACAACAAAAAGCAGCTAATGTTTGGTGGGTATCAGTGGCTTATGTTTATAATCCTAGCTACTCAGAAGGCACAGATCAGGAGAATCGTGGTTCAAAGCCAGCCCAGGCAGATAGTTCCCAAGACCCTATCTGGGAAAAACTCACCACAAAAAAAGTCTTGTGGCTCAAGGTGTAGGCTGAATTCAAGCCCTAGTATTTGCCAAAAAAAGGCCAGTGCTTAACCAGTAAAGATTTCCATTTGCCATTTAGATAAGTTGTTTCACTTCTTAAAAATCTGGCAGACATAGCTGCACACCAGTGGCTTACTCCTGTAATCCTAGCTAGTTGGGAGACTGAGTTTGGGAGGATCAAGGTTGAGGCTAGCCTGGACAAGTATTTCACACAAGACCCCCATCTGCAAAATAACCAGAGCAAAATGGATGAGAGGTATGGCTCAAGCAGTAGAGCAACTGCTTTGTAAACATGAAGCCCTGAGTTCAAACCCCAGTCCTACCAAAAGTTTAAAAAAAAAAAAATACAACAAACTTACATAGAAGGCATAAAACCCTAACATGTGACTGCATTCCAGCTCCACAGGCAGTCACTTCTCTATGTTGGGCATTGGGGATATTGTGATGCCTGGTCTCCTGTTGTGCTTTGTCCTTCGCTATGACAACTACAAAAAACAAGCCAGCAGCGACTCCTGTGGTGCCTCTGGCCCTGCCAACATCTCTGGGCGCATGCAGAAGGTCTCCTACTTTCATTGCACCCTCATCGGATACTTTGTAGGTAAGATGCTGTGCGAGTGCAGCAGGTCCCTCACTGACTTCCTCCAGTCCTGACAATTAAATCAGGTCTTCTAGCTGTGGACACTGACCAGAAGAGCAGTAACTCTGGTCACTGTTATAGACAACCAAAAGGGACCCCACCTGGCCCAAGAGATGATACGTGCTCCCCATGCTGCGTGCCAGTTCCCATCCACAGTATGTCTGAGGAAGAGTGTGACCAGTCCCCCCCAGAACTACAACACCGGCTTTCCATAAACTTCCATGCAGTTTAATTGAGTATCCCGTTTATTTCCTGTTTCAATAGATATTTACATTCATTAGTTCTACATGTCTGTCACCTCTGACCTCAGACTCCTCCCTCAGGCTGCTCACCTTAGGCCAGGAATAGCTAATAATAGGTACCTGCTACAGCAGAGTGAGCACAAGAGTATCTTTCTCCCCTCCATGCCTCCTGCTTAACATCTGACTGTACCTGTCCAAAGTATTGCATACACATTTGAGAGGGGCCAGGCAGAAAAAGACACTCAGAGAAAGGAAATATATCTCAACCAACATTATGTAGCTATTGAAAGCAGAATTGGAACTTGAACCCAAGTCTTTTATCTTCAAGTTCAGCATCACACTCCACAGGAGACAAATGGAGACCAGGCACATTCAGAGACAAAGGGAGGGTTTGGACTCAGGAACCTGAGCAAGGAATGGGGAGTTAGGCCAGTCATGGATCCTTGGAGTTGCTGTGCTGTTCCACATCTTTTAACTACTTGAACTGGACACTGCACACCCCAACCACAGAATGGACTATGTCACATCCAACCTGTCCAATCTAAGACTTTGCCAGGCAGCAGATGGGAGATAGAGGGTCTCTGTTCCTTCTTGGGCTGGCACCTCAAAGTCACTCACCCATGTCTCTCCTTGTAGGTCTGCTCACTGCTACTGTGGCATCTCGCATCCACCGAGCTGCCCAGCCTGCCCTTCTCTACTTGGTGCCATTTACCTTATTGCCACTCCTCACCATGGCCTATTTAAAGGTGAGAGCAGCTTATAACTTATAAGCCTGGGAAAGCAATAACTTGTCATTGACTGAGGTTTGGTATGTACTTTCTAAATGGAGGTGGTTCTGCTTAAGCCCCTGAGTTTGTGTCTGTGTTTTGCATTCTGCTGTGGCGTTAGCAAGTCTCGGGGTTCGTAAAGCCATTGGTTGAAAATACTCATGATCAGACCATGGTCATGGGTTAGTTAACTGAAAGCCCAAGATCCCAGCTATACAGACTTGCTTTTCTTAAAGCAGTACCTTAGTTCTTAGCATGGTGGGCACACAGCTGTAATTCCAGCTACTTGAGAGCCTGAGGCTGGCAAATTCAAGGCCAGCCTAGGCACCTTGGCAAGACCCCTGTCTCAAAGTAAAGGGCTGAGGATGTAGCTCAGTGGCAGAGCATTTGCTTAGCATGTAGAGTCCCTGGGTTCAGCTATAGCACCAAAACAAAAAGCAGTACCCTAGTACCACCTAACACATTTCTAAGTAGTTTTCATTAAAGTCTAGAAAGAATTAAGAAGGACTATAGAGTATTAAAGCAGTCTAGGACATTTAAAAAAAATAAGAGACTCAGCGAATGCATTACCTTATTTACCAGATTGGTATTAGCAATTCATTTTGTAGATAGGAAGCAGATTGTGAAGCTCGTTAACTTGCCTGGACTGCTAGCTCACAATGATAGAACTCGTATCAGCACAGACTTGCACAGAGCTTCTGAAGGCCTTTCCTCTTTCAAGGGCCAAGAAGCCTCTCTTCTCATGGGTAAAATTTGAGTGCTCTTTGGTTCGCAAAACCAAAAAGTTCGCTCTTTGGTTTGATCAGAGATTGAGAATCAGAGGACTTGTGGCTGTGCCTCGTGTTTAAATCTGTAACTCAGGAAAGTCCCTTCTTTCCAGGGTGACTTACGGCGGATGTGGTCTGAACCATTCCACTCCAAGTCCAGCAGCTCCCGATTCCTGGAAGTATGATGGATCACATCAAAAGTGACCAGAATGGCCTCGTCATCCTTTTCTCTCACCACGTGGTTTTGTTTCCTCTTAAAGCTGGCCTGGTCCTCAGAGGTGTACCTGTTTAAGGAACTGCCGTGTGCCTGGAGTTTGCATCTAAAGAGAGTGTGTTTTCAGGAAAGGGTGCTGGAGCCCTACCTGCGTCCTGTGGTTGGAGAGGTGGAGCCCCTCCCAGAAGTAACAGGCTCCTTTCCGGTGCTCCTTCCTTCATTTTTATGGATCTGCACCAGACTGTTACCTTTTGGGGAGATGGAGATCTGACTATTTAAAAACTGCAAACGGCGAGGAGTCGTTCTAGAACTTTCGAACACTAAAAGGGTGAAAAATTTAGCAAACGAAGTTTCTTCAGTGAACCCTCCAAAACTTTGGGACCAGTTTCCTATGGGGGACTCAGTTTCAGAGAACTAAGACAGAAGCTCTTCTGTCGTTATATTCTTTCCTTTTTTTTGGATTTATTAAATATTTTCTGTGGTGTGAAGTGACTTATTAAATCCACAGACATTGAGTGACTTCTTACAACATACACATAAAATTGTTGTAATGAGTTCATGTCCACCCAGATGTCGTGTTGGCAGTGAACAAGGGCACGGTTTTTATACATACGTACATATATATATATATATATATATATATATATACACACACACACATGCGCACATAGCTATATATGAATAAACAGATTAAAACCTGCTAAGATCATGCTGTGTAGCAGACAGGGGCTTGCTGTAATTTTGAGCATGTAGAGCAGTTTACTGTGGCTTCCGTGTATAAGCTGCCCTCTCTCCCCTTCACACATGACCCTGCACTTACAAACCGGTGTAGCATTTGGATGATAGACTTGGGCTGTGGGGACTCTTACTTGGTTTGATCAGCAAATTAGGGATGAAAAGTTAAACTTTTGGCCCTTTTCTTTTTACAGGCTTCTCCCTCGCAGGGTTTTAGTAGTTTCTTCTTGACCCAATGCATGTATTATAGCAGCCAGGTGTCTTTGTGCTTTCTGATCACAGTAATGTACTACCTGTAAATACATTTTTCTATTTTATATTTTTTTGTATTTTTTTGGCATTTTGTTTCATTGGTGTGCTGTATTTTCCATGCCCTCACTCCTTTAAGAAAAAAAAAAAAAAAGGAAAAAAGCAACACAATCCTGTCCTTGCTGTTGTGATTGTAATCTTGGTTTTTACCTATGGTGATGGCTGGGTATTAGGGACATACGGCAAATGCCCCTCTGAGTCTGGCACCAAATTCCAGGACCTAGGGAAAAAACAGGCTGCTCTATCCCCTTAGAATCTGACTGTGTGCTTTGGTCTTTGCTGGAGAGCCCAGGGTCCCAGCAGTGATTGTGTGATGTCTGCTTGCCTTTAAGCAGCCCCTGGCCTAGAAAGAAATTGCCCATGTTTAGAGGCAGGGAGAAGCCTGGAATTGTCCTAAAATACCTGGCAGCAGAGGCAGGTGTATCCTGGTTCCTCCTGCAGGGCCACTGCAGTGGTGACCTGCCTCTGTCCTGCCCCACGTAATTGGTGTGCTGTCATCTCCAGGATTGGTGTTCACTGTGGGTGGAGCTCACCAGGTGATGCACAGCTTGTCAAGGGAGCAGGTTGGGGCAAAATCAGGATGTTGGATTCCTCTGTTGTTGTGTTCAAATCCTGCTGAGGGGGTTAGGGTTTGGTTTTTGTTTCTAATAAATGACTCCTTTCTAGCCTTTGTCACATCATCGTCACTTTTGGTGGATGGTACCAAGCAGAGCTTCTAGTCACTTCCTGCTATTTCTCCTGTACCAGAAGAATGATGGGAAGACCCTGTCTGTCTGCCACATTTGGTCACCTGCAGCTCTGGTTCAGTCATGGAGTTGTCAAAACATTGAAGCTTCAGTTGTTCACAGAACTCATACCACATCTGGAGTTAGTGCAGTCGAGAAATAGACTCGTATACTCCCTGTTCATCGGAAGTACTGGTTTGTCAACCACCAAAAATGCAAGTGGTGGTGGCTCATACCTGTAATCCTAGCTACTTGGAAGGCTGAGATAGGAGGTGAAGATTCAAGGTCAGTCCAAGCAAATAATTGATGAGACCCTATCTCCAAAATAACCAGAGGAAAAAATGGGCTGGAGGTGTGATTTGACCAGTAAAGCACCTGCTTTATAGGCACGAAGCCCTAAATTCAAACCCCAGTCCCACCAAAAAAAAAGAAAGAAAAGAAAAAAGGCAAGTGGCTAAACGGTCATGGGAGGAGATACTCCAAAATTAACTCAGATTAAGGGCACCTGTCTACAGGGAGTAGAAGTAATGTCATCCTAGCAGTTGGTCACTTTTATTTTCATTTAAAAAAAAATTCTGCCAGGCTCAGTGGCTCACATTGTGATGCCAGCTACTCAGGAGACGAGTTCAAGGCCAGTCTGGTCAAAGAGACCCCATCTCACCAAATAAGCTGAGCATGGTGGTACATGTCTATAACTCCAGCTACCTGGGAGGCATAGCTAGGATTATTGTTGTCTAGGCTGGCCTGGGCAAAAATGTGAGACCCTAACTAAAAAACAATCAAGCAAAAAAGGGCTAGAAGATGGCTCAAGTGGTAAGTGAAGTGCAAAGTCCCAAATTCAAACCCTAGTACTACCAAACGGTAAAAATAATAAAATTCCAGACAGAGGACTGGCAGAGTGTCTCGAGCACTAGAGCACCTGCTTAGCAAGCACAAGGCCCCAAGTTCAAACCCCAGTATTGAAAAAAAAAATCAGGAATGCAATTTTTTCTGTCATTCTAGCTTTTGTACAAGTTTGGAAGGGGGGATTACCACTTGTGAATGTAACTTGAATTCCAAATGCTGATCTTCAAAACCCTTAAAATATTCTCTCTTAACTACATTTTTTTTTTTAAGGTACTGGGGCTTAAACTCAGGGCTTTCATCTTGAGCCACTCCACCAGTCCTTTTTTGTGAAGGGTTTTTCGAGATAGGGTCTTGTTTGCCCAGGCTGGCTTCAAATCGAGATCCTTCTGGTCTCTGCCTCCTGAATAGCTAGGATTACAGGCGTGAGCCACCCACACCTGACTCTTGACTACCTTTGCAGAGAAACTGCAAATACTAGTTTTAAATTAACCACAGTAGACACTAGAATTTCCTCCAGTTCTGAAGTCCTGTCCCTGGATTGGAGTGGGGGGTGGGGTTGCAGTAAAAGCACATGCTTTAGGTTTCTTCTACAGTCTCCTGTTAGCACCAACCCCCTTCTCCATATATCCTCCTCATACTCTCTGTGGGTTTTGGAGTCTTGTGTTAAACATGGCATGTTTATAGACTGCCAGCATGGACTGACTTCCTCCTTTCTTTCCTCCCTCCTAGTCAGATTCCATCCACCCAAAGAACCTGCATGCTGGAACTCTTGTCTATTCATAGTAATCACTGCCTTTCTATTTTCAGTTGATATGACAGCAGTACACCCAAGGCCTAGTGCACTTTATTATCACAGTGTCAGCCTGCTCTGAATAAGGCAGCCACAACTGAAACCATGGGGGAGGAAGGACAGGTACTAAACTGCTGCTGTAGCGGCCAGCACAGTTAACCAGGTAAGTTCTGCTAAGTATAGAAAAACCAAAGGCCTAGTCCTCTGTAAGGGCAGAGGGGGAGGGAGTCCTGTCTTGTAAGTAAAATGTTAAAAATAGAACCTGCCTGGTCTGCATAGCAGTTCACATTACTAACCACATCCAGCTTTGTAAGGAGACGTTTGTTTCGTGAAGCAGTTTTGTGTGTACATAAAGCACACATCAAGAATGTCAGCCTGCAGCACTCTTTCCCCACACGTGCACCTCAAACAGGACAGGCTCAGAAAGAACCAGTCCCCTGCTGCTGGTCCTTCAGTGCCTGCCCAGTCCATTGGGACAGTCTCATCACTAAACCACACTTCTGTGCCAGTTTCCAGCAATGAAATCACTTCAGGAATAATGACCACTCTCTCCTTCCCCCAACCCCAACAAGTGTCAACCTTGCCAAAGGAGTTTGCCCTCGAGACCAGCTAATCCTGGTAATAGAACTCAAGTGCCATCCCTCTTCTGGAAGGGATAAGCCAGGGAAGACTTCTAATCCGGAAACTATTTCTATACCTGTGCTTTCTATCTGCAGGCCTCTAGGCTCCAGTTTCTGGAGGTTCAGATTCCAGGCTCTCAGGTGTGCAGAATCTGTTCCAGAACAGAATTTTTCCCTCTCTTGACTACTTCAGCCACGATTGGTTTCCTCCTCAACCTTCCCCTCAGAACTCAAAACCCTTTCCTGTCATTAGAGGTCATTTCAGTCATGTTGGTGCTTAGGCTGTGGTAGGCATGGGCACTCATGCAAATAAAACTAACCTGGCCCCCTTGCTCCTTGTGTCGGTGTAAGGGTTGCTTCAGCACACTTGGATTGTGGACAGAGTGAGGCGGCAGCCGTCCCCATGCATGTGGTCACACAGTGACACCGTAGGAGTCAGGAAAGAGTGGACTCCATAGCTCTGCCATGTTTCTGGGCCTTGCTGAAAATAGCAAAGCCCTGGCTGAGAACCCCAGGTGACAGGATGGACCCTCGAGCTAAGAGAAGGCTGAGAAGCAGATTGGTTCAGAAGTCCAGGGTTCCTGATGGGCACAGGCCACTTGTACCCAGTGCCTAAATGACCATAGGAGAACGTGAAAGCAGATCTTCAGTCACAACAGGGTTCAGTAGTCTCACACTTAAGAGCCAGCAATTAGGGGTTGGGGATTTAGCTCAGTGGAAGAGCACTTGCCTGCCAAGTGTAAGGCCCTGAGTTCGGTCCCCAGCACCGAAAAAAAAAAAGGAAAAAATAGAAAAAAAGCAAAACAACAACAACAAAAAAAAGAGCCAGCAATTAGAAAGTTCTTTATCTGTTTTGCAGATTATGGCAGTTCAACTGTGTGGTTCCAAGTGTCCGTTCCCCTGCCCTACCCAAACGACTTGCTCCAGGCAGATGACTCAGTGCTTTGACAGTCATTACCAGTATGCCATGGAATCTTAGATACTTGAGTTATTTGGAACTCATCTGTGCTAAGATCATGAGTTTAAGGCCGGTGTCATTGAGCTACATAGTGAGACACTGTCTCAAGAAAAAAGCATGCGCGGGCTCAGACTTCCTTCACAGTTTCTTTTGCTTGGATTCTGCCTAGTCAGTTTCCTCCTCAGATTTCAAGAAGTCTTCCCTATTAAGTAGAACTGTAAGACTCGCCACTGTTTGCAGATAACAGGCTCTGCACTCGTGAACTTTCTCCACCCCCACTAAGTACCAGAGACAACCAAGGAAGGGGACTCTGTTACAGAGAGGTAACAGGCTTGAGAGATGGCTGGGAAGGCTGCCAAGCAGTGGGCAGCAGGCCCACTGTGTCACCCCAAGTGACTTACTGCAAATTGGAGGCAGAGGGTAGAGACACAGAACAATTAATTGCCAAAACTGATCAGGATAAAACTGGGGAAGAAGAGTTCTATTTTAGCCAGGAGAGCGGCTAAAGCTAAAACTCTGGGAGTCACAGGCATAGAAAAGAAAACCAGGAAAGAACTATGTTTAAAGTCCTAGGGAGATGGGCACCAGTGGCTCATGCCTGTCATCCTAACTACTTAGGAGGCAGAGATCAGGAGGATCCAGGCTCAAAGCCAGCCCAAATAGTTTGTGAGACCCTGTTGAAAACAACCATCACAGAGGGCTGATGGAGTGGCTCAAAGTCCCAGTACCATACCAAAAAAGAGCCCTAGGGAATATATGAGAGACCAGTAGTGAGGAGGAAAGTGATTTTGTAGTGTCTGTGTAAAGGCATTTGTCAGCTCTTACCCCTCATTCAGCCACCTGCAGCCCTGGGTTATTGACAGAGCTCTGAGCCTTAGTTACTAATTACAAGTGAGATGAAGGTGCCTTATTTAAAGTGATAAATGAGTATCAGGCAGGCACTGTTCTGGTTTGATGAGTTCTCATGTACTCCACACAGTTTACCAGTCTTCAGAGAGTTAGCAGACAATTCCAAATAATCAGATTCAAACAGATACACACTTTGAATTATTCAAGAGACCATAGCTTCTTGTACCCCACCCCGTATAAGAAAAGTGTTTGTTTTCTTGTTGAGAGCTAAAGGCGGAGCTGGCGCTTGAATCCTATTCTAGGCTTTCAATCTGAGTGGATTCTGAATAGACCATAGGAATTTGACTATAAGCCCAGTCCAGTGCCAGGGTCTCGACGTGTCCTTCTACACACTGGCAGACTTGGCACAAAGTGCTCTTATACAGAGGGGTGCTGGGTGAGCCCGAGTAGAAGTTTCTACTGGACCATGTGCTGGGGTATCCCAGCAGCACCCTACTGCCACGGTCCCTTGGGGCACGTCAGGTTTAAGAAGCAGCCTCCTAGAGCCCCTCAGGGCCTACCTTGAGCCATGCCTAAAATAAGGTTAGTTAGGCCTCATTTGCTTTACAACTGAGAGCAGAATGCTCCCCCAAAGAGGCCTGAAGTGTCTCCAGTTAAGAGCCTGGGGGGCTGTCAAGGGTCCTGAGCTGGCTCCTGCAATAACTCAGGTGGACTGGGTCCTGCCCATGGGATCGCTCACATCTCCACTGCATAAGCCCAAGTGTCAGCTTGTAATCAGAGTCTGCAAACAAGCTAATACTGACATTTTTATTGGTCTATACCAGTAATTTTTTATAGTAAGTGTTACATACGGCTTCTTTTACTTTAGTATACT